CCCCGACCCAAGACCCCTATTACGCGCCTGCTCCCCCCACTTTGAAAAACGTTCCGCCGGCCCTGCAGAAGTGCAAACATACCACAGACAGACAGACGGAGCTCATCGCAAAACCCTCTTCTTCCCCCTCTTCGGGGGCGAGGGTAATTAGAATCAAGTTAATTTAAATTGTTTTCTTTGCTATGTGTTCATTTTGGTGACAATGATGATTACATAAAAAATTATAAGCAAGTTACTTAATAATTAGGCCAAATAGTAATATAGGCCTAATATTGATTTCTAAAAGTATTTAATTGTTAATTATAAACTCTTATAAGAATAAAAATATTAATAATTATAGGCATAATAATAACAATAGAGATGTTGATAATGATAACAATAAATCATAATAATAAAAAGAGGTCAAATAAGTCATTAACAAAAATAGATCAACATTTCGGCACATTTACAAAAATGTTGTCCTATTATCCTCCCCCATTTAACTAGGGATTCAACTGGAGTTTATGTCGCGTTATGTTTAGAATAGGATGTAACTCACCAGTGCCCAGTTGTCTTCCCCTAGATCTTGCCTCAGTCCAATATTTTTTATTGATATTGTATGGGCCGCAAGTATCATAGCCGCGATACACGTGACACAAGGGTCTTGGAATTCTGCAATTGGATTCTACCCTGCAGATGCACTTGAGGCAATTCGGTGATACGTCTGATATGGTGTCATTCACTAATCGAACGAGGAACAGAGAACAAGCAATGTAAATTGTGGATGGGATTGTCGTTAGAAAAACATTAAACAATTTCATTTTGATGATAATACAGGTCTCCCTTCACTTAAAGACCATTTTTGAAACCGGGGTTTCCATGGTCTTTAGCAGCTTTGGTCTCTAATTAAGAATAAAAATAAAGGACAGTCGTAAATATGGGACTTCAGACAATTGGTTTTTAGAGGGAGACCTGTAATACATAAATTTCAATTTCAGAAATATATAGCACCAAACAAAATTTGGTTGCTGGATCATTTATTGAAACACACACACATCGAATCAGCTGCTAAGGCCTAAACCAGGGGTTCTCAACAATTATCGCAATGGGGGCCAACATTGTTCATTGAATAGATTTTAAGGGCCAGGGCAAGAAGTGTACTTTGGCGGGTAGCACCATTCGCGCACCACCGG